CCCTCAGCTGCCTGCATTATACCTACGAATGCTGCGTGCCGAAGTGATTATCTAGTATAATTATTGTTCTTATCAAAATCCAATTGTTTTCTTTCTAGTTYGTTTATCATAGAAACAAAGCCAATAATGAATGAACTAAATATGTCTGATTTTCCTCTATGCATTCGTTGGGATAATGCAGACTGAAAACAATGGATTTTGATAAGATCAGTAATTATAGACCTTGTCATTCCTTTATTTTCTTGATCATTTAGACACAAATACCATGCATTTGATATCATCCACGAATAAAGTAAATAATTTCCTCACGATCAGCGATCCCTTTTTGTTTGGAAGAAGTCGAATTTCGAAACCACGCTTCTCGTAATATATAGTTTTACGCAAGAATAGCGTCAGCCATACTTTTGGTCAGCGGACTAAAATTCCTATTTGAAACAGCCGTGTTAGTTGGACTTGATTCTCGCCATTGTTGTGAGACTGTTATGGTGTACCATATATATGCCTACCTGCATGCCAAGCGCTCCAAGCTGCTTTTCTCTCATCGCCATCGCTAGTTTCTTTTTCTCTACTCTCGTTTGTCGGCGCACTTCGGTTATCTAAGAAGACATATATTGATTTACTACTAAGCTCGCTTAGAGTTTCGACTATAACATATTTCATTTCCAACTTGCCTTTTTCTCTATTTCTAAATTCTCACGTAAAGCTTCCTGCAGGTTTTCAGCTAAAGAACCGACTTTCTCCTCAGACGAGACTTGCTCCAGTCGATGGATGACTGGAATTGTTGATTCCCCGATGATAAGCTACAATCATGACATCAAATAAACTTAGCACTCGACTTGTTCAATAGAACTGGTGTAATTACTCAGCCGACGATGGTACTATCATCACACGGCCTTCGTACCCCAGACGCGACATTTAAAAAAATTACAGTTCTAGACAAGCTAGAATGACATGGCAATTCCTACCTGTATTTTTTCGTAGCCCTTGCACAATCCACACAGTAATCTCAGTACATATGGTAGAGAGGGTCGGGCTAAGAATTCCTTCCAAACGTCCAACTCGGCCAGATTTGCTTTACTGTACGTTACAGATAATACAAATATTATATGTGAACTAAGACTCAAACATGCAATACCAAGTTCAATTCTCGTTTAGATATTGCAATACTACCTGAAAGGTTTAGAAGGTGTATATGTCTCCAGGTACTTGATCGCTTTATTCACGATTCCATTCTCTAAAATCATTTCCTTTAGCCGGGCTCCACTGGAATTATTCTGAATACGCAAATACATCACTTTTAATAATCGCTCTTAAATACGAACACATTAGGGCGAAATTATTTCCAAGTAAACAAACATTTGCTTCCTACCTCGATTCCATTTGCAATTTTACAGAAACAATCGATAAAAAGTGTTTCATCACTTGATCTTTCTACGTCAAACCTGCAATAACATAGATCAAGAGAATATTAAGTAAGAGAGCACATCTCCCATACTTGGGTCTGTAACCATGAAAGTTTCTTGAAAATCTATTTTTAGCTGCGCGCGCAAGCCTGAGCTATTTTTAACATGCGATCCCTTATTGCTGCTCAGAGTTGTAGTGATTTCCATGCGAGCGAAAAATGTTTAGTTCCCGACGAGAAGAATGCCTTCAAAATTAGTAAAAAGTTGAAATGATTAAAGTATCATGTGTTCTTCATGGACGAATTAAACATTAACTTAACAAGTGATGTAAAAGAACATCGAAAAAGATCAAATCAGGATGGTTTTCAGTCACATACGAACAAGCGCTAAAAACAGCGAAGACGCCATGGGGAAGGAAACCGCAATAAAAAATACGATTAAAATAGCGAAAAACCTACAGTGAATACAGCCAAAAAAGCATTTTACCGTAGTGTTTTCTATAGTAAATAAAGTTTAAGTTAAAGTAATTAAGAAGACGATGAACAAGACCAGTATTTTGTTTCACACACGAATCAGAAAAACTATTTGCACCGAAATGTGCCGAAGAAAATTTTCTGTTTTCACAGAGGAAAAAACTACAAGAGGCACTGAAGTGATTTTTCACAATTATTAGATATGTTTAGCTTGCCAAAATACGGTGTGTCAGTTTATGCAAAAGACATTGCCCATTGAGAAAAGGCGAATTAATGAAAAAGTTTGACTATTAAAACTAGAACTTCTTTCAAATTTTGCATCTTGAATTTTCGCTCCGCCTCAATGTTCAGGTATTTTTTTCATAACTTTTCAACTTCCAAAGTCCCAAACAGACAATAGAAATACAATCACAATATCGGCGAAGTACAAAAAGTGAATCAAACTTAGTTTTTGAGGATTCAAACTAATAAAAAAGAGATTATTTTTACCTGATTGAAGGGCATTTTACTAGCGATTTTTTCTGCCAGATGCTCTCAGTTCGGCGTATTTGTGCCTTTATGTTAAATTCTTCTATTCCGAGCAGCTTGACTGTTTTCAGCTATCTTAAAACCTCTTCTTTTTACTGGTAAACAACTGATTCCAACAGTAAATGCTAAATTTTCTCTCAAGTTTAAAGTTTTTTAAACTCTTGACTCGGTGCATTCAACAAGTTTGTTAATCGAAAATCCGGCTCTTTCGTAAACGAGTCCAATCTACCTTCATTTTAGATGTCCATTAGATAACTTGTCATTTTGAAAACACTGAAGTTCAGGTCAGAARTAMGTGTTCTTGGGATGCAGCAATATTAACTGTATTTCAGTTTAGGTGGAGAATTGTGGAATAACTTACAGTCTCAACTATAACTGCAATCAACTCCAAGATGATTGAGTCTCAATCGAGCGACCATTGTTTTGATTTAAAAACAAGCTTGAATGATGTTGTCTCAGCTGAGTATTTTTTACATATGCTGTCATAATGAATTCCTTCAAATACCTTTCAGAATTTCTCAAGGAATTCCTCTAAACACATTTTCTCGTCAAATTGAATAAAGTTTGGTTCTTGGTTTGTCAACTGCGTGAAGCTTGCTTTGTCACTGCCGATCTTTTGTGTACCTATGACGTCACTACAATCTGACCAATCATGAAGCGCATGCTAAAATAGCTCAGACTAGCGCGCGGAGCTAAAAATAGATTTTCAAGAAACTTTCATGGGTCACAGGGATATGCTCTCTTACTTCATATTCTCTTGCATAGATAATGTACTTTGAAACTGGAATTATATTCACATCTTTCTTTGAAATTCACACGATAGCAAAGTTTATAATTGATTTGCATCTATAAATCTGTCCCATCACTCTCACATTTTAATTTCTAATTTTGAGAAGGACAGTTTCAAATATATAAGTAGATACTTATAGCGAAAAATGAACCACATACTAAAAAACGGGTAAGTGTTATTTCACGTACTTTTCAAAGTCCAGGTAAGGCATGAAGTGTATGATCAGAGTCTTCATGTTCTTTTCGTCACCAAAGGTCAGGAAAGGAATGATCCTCATCATGGCTTGAAGTACCTTAGTACTGGCGCGCTAATTAAACAAAACGAAAGGCAAATCATGACATCTCGTAACAGCCAATCATTTTCTTTGCTATTTGCCAGAAACGTACCACAAATGGGCTAGTGATTTTATCAAGCAGCATGTCCAGCTGTGTTCGATCCCCTTCACTTGGAGGTTGAGTCGGTTGAGGTGAGCTGGTAGCTTGTTGTAGGATACTTTCCATGATTCCAAGTACTTCTTCAGCCATAGCTGCACCGCCGCCACCGCTAGACTCTTGCTCCATTTGAAGAGCCTAAATAAGACATAGTTATGGATTTATTTTACAACACGAATAACAATTTAATGAGAAAACTAGTTGTAAAAGACAATAAATAACAACATAGAGATTTTATGCGCATGTTGGAAAATTCCTCGAATGAATCTCGATAAATAATAAGAATGCTGGTGATAATAATAATAATGATGACGATGGTGACCATAATAATGATGATGATGATGTCAAATCTAAAGTGATTTATTTTCTGATATATCCAGTTTTATATTGTATAGGTAACCAGATGTGAATACCTGGTTTAGTGTTCCTAGAAGTACATTGAGAGCGTTGAGCGAAGGATTACACAGATATTGACGGTTAACCTGAAATTAAAATAAACATACTATCAAATACTTAGCTTTGAATTTTTTCTCCCCAAGGCAGGAGGAGGTAATAAGACGATTACCTTTAGTTTGACAGCGTATCCAAGCAGTTTGAGAATCACTGCCGCCAGTTGTCTACCACGGGCTAGGTTCCTTATAGCGCTGAGCCTGAAGGTAAACAACAATAACAACATCAAGATTATAAATAATTGACCCATTCAACTGAAGATTTCAAGAAGGACAAAGAGGCTAGCTAACATACCTTGTCAGCATGGCTTCTAGTCCTCCACAAACAGACAATACTGATGCCATACGATAGACCTCTTCCTCATCAACATCTTCTTCTAAAAATAAAACAAATGACCACAGTATGTTACATAGATAAACGCTTATCCACGACATACAGAACCCTTACCTTTACTATTATCCAGATTTTCCAAGAACTCTTCAGTGGCATCACCAAGCAAACCTTATGATGAAAAGATGTAATTTAGATTGATATCATAAAGGAGATAATAGTCCAGGAAACATTTGTTAACAGAAAAGTCAATGTTACATTACCTCTCATTCTGTAGACTATCTTCATTGGCTCTCCCTGAAAAAAGTTACATGGTACTGATAACAATATGAACACGAAACTAAGTTGGTATCAAAATTGACAACACTTACTTCTCCTTCGGGACACCAGACCTTCTTGTAAACATCTTTAACTGGTAAATCAAGACTGATAATCTTGTTATTGATGAGTAACTAAGATAAATGCAAACAAACATTGAAAACTTTTAGTCTAAAATGTAATTGAAATTTAGCGTTGGTACAGCCTCAAAAACAAACCTCCATTCCACTGTCATCTTCGAGTAGAGCAACGAGTTCACAATCTGTAGTATAGCAAGAAAAATAACGAGTATGCTCACGCAATTTTGAATTAAAAATGAGGATATATTTTGCGGTATTTACCGGTACAGATCTTGTTCTTTACATCTCGCATCAACGGACCCAGACCTGGTTCATTGGAGCTGGAACAAAAATATCAATGCTTTAAAATCAACGAGGTCCAATGGGAGAGATGTTTATTAGTACAGGCTACCTGTATGGGTTGCCTTGCATTCGTCCTTGAAGGAAGTCTTCTTGCTGCTGGTCTTTTTCTAACGTCATAAAAAATTCACCGACATCATTTTCTTCCTGCAATTAACAAAGGCAGTAGTATATTAATCTTTTTGCTCTGTTGGAAATCGTCAACTAGAGAGTAAATCAATTAAATGCGCACATTTCAATGTAAGGAAGGACCTTGACTAATTACTTACAGGGTAAATCAGGTTACAAAGCCGCTCGAAAATAAAGACAGGCGTACGTAAGTCATCTTGACCATATCTACACACACCAAACAAAGCATAAATTATTATATTACAATTCCTTTACCAGCATATTTATCCATCAATGAATATGTTGCTTTGAATATAATGAACACCTTGTCCGTATGTGTTACAGCCGTCGAAAATTGTTTGTCGAAAAACTCCTACAAAATACCAGGTGCATGACTTCCATGCAGCTAGTGGTTAGAGCGCCTGACCAGTACTTTCAGCAACTCACATAAACGTTCCTTACTTGAATCTTCTTACCTGTTCAGTGTTTCCACACAGATGGCCATAAACGCTCGAGTCTCAACTTCAGTACCTGTTAAAATATCATGAAGTGAAAAAGAAAACAGTTGGGAAAATGATCGGAAAATGATCGGTGGTTGCTCAGTAGGAAGTTGGGAGAGAAGTGAGAAGGTGGTCAAAAGATGGACCAATTTTAGGATTACCTGTGGTCATTTCCTCTAACAGCTCGAGCAGTAACTCCTGTGTCTCGTCAATCAGTTTGGTGCGCTGAACGATGAGTCTAAAATATTACCAATCACATCAAAACATTTACTACCTAAAATGGCGGGAAATAATCACGTGTCTAGTGGACTTACCGCCTGAGTGACAGGTAGCCATTCAGAACTGTTCCTACCAGTCTACCCTTAAACCTTTGCTTTAACGTGTCGTGCTCAATGAAAGAGGCAAGGAGTTCTGTGGATTGTTCAAAAGATTATAAAAAGCCATAATATCTTGCCAGTCAAATTTGTAATACTGTTGGAATGGATGTAAGGAAACCTACCGGTTAACATTTTTAAGGCATAACCCTGGGACAAGTCCGAACTGAGGGTTGTCTGCTCCAAGTACGACAAACGATTAATCTCCTGAATAAACAAATCAGTGAAATTTCAATCATCAATAATGATACAAACAATAGAGAAAACTAAGCAGCATACAGCACACAGTATACAGTATACAGCACACAGTATACAGCATACAGCAGACAGCAGACATCATACAGCAGACAGCAGACAACACACAGTATACAGCACACAACACACAGCAGACATCATACAGCAGACAGCACACAGTATACAGCACGCAGCACGCAGTAGACAGCACACAGTATACAGCACACAGTATACAGCACGCAGCACACAGCACGCAGCACACAGCTTACAGCCACAGCATACAGCACACAACACACAGCATACAGCACACAGCATACAGCAGACATCATACAGCAGACAGCAAGTGACGGGTGAGATATTTCATGATAAAGCACTCAAAACAATTGTAGAGTGCATAAAGACTATTTGCCGACCTGATTTGACAGACAGAAAGACACATACCTTAGTTATTAGACGTCCAATCTGCATGAGTGCTCCTTGTAATGCAAGGTAGTACTTGAGATATGATGGTTGAATAAGTTTCTGGTAAAGCTGGAAAAATTCACTAGCATTCTCACCCGCAGATCCCACTTCATCTAGAAAACTAGAAATGCAAAGGGTTAGAGCTACTACATTTAATACTATACTTGAGGTAAAGAATAGCATGTAAAATACCTTGTTAGAAGATCCAACATCTGTTTGCATCGACTAGGAACCTGAAAACAACAAAATAGTCAGCACTGTGACCACATGAGATGCACAGTTCCTGTTTGTTTTTTCCCCCCAGATATTTTTATACATTCGAAAACAGCAAAAACAGGGTCATACGATTGCGGCTATTCAAGAAACCCCATCTATATGAAGGTACAGTGCCCATACTTGGCTAACTACTTTACTTGTCTTTAGTACTAGGGTTACAGTGTCATGTAACTAACATCTGCAAAATAGCTTGCTACCATCTTCGTGGGATTTTCAAGATACGCAAATTCTTGACATATGAATCAACTGTCGCTCTCGTGCATGCCTTCATAACTTGTTGTTTGGCCTCCCTGTCTTCTTGGCTCGTAAATATCACCAAATCACTTCACTGCTTATTGAGCATCATTGGCTACCAATAGAATATAGAACCGAATTGAAGATCCTCTTAGTGAAGTTCAAAGTCCTTTGTGGTACTGCTCCATTGTATTTGTGTGACCTGCTCAAGCCATATCCACCTAGCCATGCTTTACGTTCACGATCTAAAAACTTACTGTGCAATCCCAGTTTTAACCTTAAAAGTTATGGTCGGAGAGCTTTCTTTTTAAGAAGGCTTACACCCTTTAATTACTAAACTGGACTGTGGCTACCGCTTCACTGTGGCTGCCATCTTTTTTCTTATCTTTTTAACTAGTACATAATTTGTAAAGCGCCTTGAATGTTTAGATGTGTGCTATACAAATATATTATTAATATTATTATTAAAAAAAAATATATATTATTAATAAACTCGGAGGAATATAAGCTGTATATCTAACCTGACAGAGAGACTCGACGATAGTACAAGCGATCTGCCGAGCGGATCTACTGGATGGTGTAAACAACACCTGCCTTAACCAATCTTCATCTTTAGCCTCCTTAGGGACTGAAGGTTCTTCCTGCTGCTTATCCATCCGCATTTTCCACCGATTGGCATACTTCTCCATCAAATACCTGAAAATCAAACAAATTCTCATCAGTTTTGTCTATAAACCCTAGCTTACTGACAAGACAATAAACGGAAGACAGGCACGGCTTGTAAGCACGTCTTAGAAGCGTCACGCATCACATACAGTTTTCTTCTATTGTTTATTCCGCTTGAGTCACTTATTACCTTTGTCGTGCTTCTTCTTTGGTTTCTTTGCCCACCTTCTTAGGTCCCTTAGGCTTTTTCTGTGCTTGTTGCCTCCACTGTTGAAAGCCATGCTCCTTTTCGAGCCACTGTTTGGTATTAATGCGAACCTCTGAGGTACTTTGAATGGTGCCTAGACTATCCCAGTCTTTGCTCTATGTCATTGTGCATAATAATAAGATAAAGACAGTTATGATAAGCTTATCTGATGTATTGGTGTAGCGTATGAAGGTCAGATTTCGTATGACAGTTAAAGATTCACAGTTCCGACAAGTGCCATGCTCTAGAGATGGGTCCGAGGAGAAGGCAACGTTAATAAGGAATAAGGAAACAAAAAAGAAACATTAATAGTGAGATGAATAAAACAGAATAACGAGAAGGACTCTCAATTTTCAATACCTTGTTCTTTTTGCTTGTTGGAGCTGGTGGTTTAACAAGTCTGAGAAGAATCTTCAGACATGATAAAGTAATACTCTCCATTACCAATGGGCTTGGAGTCTCAACGGACATCATGAAGATACGCATGACTAATGAAAGACATCACAATACGTTAGTACACATTACTGCTGTTTGTTACTATGGAAAAACAAGTTATAGCTCACCACATCTGAGTCTCTGCTCCCAGCACGAGTCTTCCATTTCTATGGTGTTGCTAAGCAACAACATTTCAGGACCGATTCCAGACACCTAAAGCGAACAACATTTTTAAAAAATTCTTTACATTGGCATATTATTTTATTTTTTTTATTTCTTTATTTATTTTTGGGGGGG